ATTTTGGTATTAATTATTTACAGGGACATCATTACCCGGCAATTCCGCTTGTTTACGAGAGTGAGCTTAAGGAATTGGAAATTAGTATTTCAAGAATTAAGAGAAGAAAGATGAATCGTGTCCTTTACTTCAGTGCGACGATATGGTGAATTAGGTGAGTACTCAATATACAGAAGAGTTGTACTGCGAAAATTCTGATTATTAATAAATCTAAAAAAATAATGCCCGTTCTCATGTTTTGAAGCTTACATGAGATTAGAGCTGCAGAAAATAATTGATTGTTATTAACTAGCTAAAGACTATTGTCCCGTTAGAAAATTTTGCGAAAGCTACTTTATTACTATTTCTTTTAAGTTCAGCGCGTCTAAGCAGGATAATAATCTTTATCGAGTCAATATCTTGTAAGTTTTGATAGACTTTGGTCCATTGTACGTATTTAGAGACAGACTGAGTTAGCTCGATCATTATTTAGAATATACATATCGTATAAATCATATCTATTCAGATGGGAACTTTGTAAGGTACAAGTAAAGTTCGATAGGTAAGGTCTATCCCAAGAAATCCATTGAGGTCGCGTGAAGTTCCATGGACACAGGAGAGAATGTTTGCCACGATAGTCGCAATGAAATTGCATTTGTGTTATCATCGACGAACGCGTAAAATCTATTTGATGTAACTAAAACTGCTGCATTTATATATAAGAAGACATTATACGTTATACACATATCTTATATTATTATACAACCATATCGAAAAATTCAGCTGCTTATGAAATTTAATATGTATATTTAATATGTAATTTAAATACAAAATAGAAATCTGATTCTCTCATTTATTAATTTTTTAAAAATTTGCATTACTTATCGCAGAAATTACATATATTCGAATTCTGAAATTTGAAATTATTTTTCAAATATTTCTATTTCTTTTCGATGCATATTACAAATAATATCACAATTAGCTCAAAGTTTTTTCTAGACATATGCAAATAAATCTGTGAAATATTCTTCTTGTTTTAAAAAATTGGTTGTATGTTTTTTAGTAGTCTTTTGCACGTTTGTCGACGATACACTACAGCTACATTTGTAAAAACGATACAACCGATAGAAATACATTGCTCTCTCGCATTAAAATGTCAAAATACAAAACTTCACGCATGCATTCGCACGGAACGTCCGCGAGGTACTTGTTAAACATATTCTTGTGACCTTTTTTTAACAATGAACTTACCTCGAGAACATCTCGCGATCTCAGTTCACTTCGCTGAACATACCTTTCACCTTTATAATTTCCCCTTGGTCGTGTGAAAAATATCTTAATGGGACGGTTATTAATATTCGTAATCTAGTCGCATTACTTAACAGAGCGATTGATCCTTTTTTAATTTGTGTTTCTGCCCTGTTTTAATCTCTATTTAAATTTATTAAAATTTAACTATAATATTTTTTATTAAAATTTATTTCGTTCTTATATTTTAAATAGTTTAAACTTTCAAGCATGGATTGTAACACTAAAATAATACTAACAAAATTAAAATAAATAAATAAGTAAAGCTTGTTTATTATTTAACATAGGTACACAAATGAGAAAATAGTAAACTATGATTATAATAAGATCGTCACTGCAAAGATTATATTATGATCTCAATTCATTACATATATATTTAAACTTACGATTGACAGTTTCAAGCTATTTGTTACTGCAATTATTTATAAGTCATTAATTTGTAAACATTTTTTTATTTTTTAAATATATTCTATGATTAGATTTTCCAAACTTGAAAGTTTAATCTTTCTCATTATTATTACACAGAAGACATTATATAATATAATATTCGCGTACATAAATTTTCTTGCAAATACTACTTCCTGATTAATTTATGCAAAACAAATTAAGTTAATTCATATTTTATTGTAAGTAAAAGATTGTTAATTTTTATCCACAAAATACAAGTTTTATTCAAAAATATTTAATTATATCTGAGCTATTATCAAAACGCTTTATTTTCTGCTTAAATACTCTTTATGATATTTTTGAATAAATATAATATATATCGATCGATGAAATATATACGAGTATTATTCAAGTACAGCTTGTACTTTTGCGACGCGTAAAATAAGATGTGGAACATTATTAAAATAATTTTACCAATTACTAGATTTTTTTTGAGGAATCACATAACCGCGAATTAACGAGACTGTAATGACCATATACGATAGAACTCTCAAATGTATGTGCGAATATTTCATGCGAATATTTCTGGTACCGAGTGAAATATTCATATATCACTATCGCGTATTCCCTACCTTAGTTTTTACAGTTACTTGTATAATATTACGTGACGTTATATTACACGTTTTTAATGTCTACGCGTCAATTATAATTATAATTATATAATATATATTCAAGATATTTCGCGTACTTCAGTACCGTTAAGTTGCAATAGCTGTTTCAGTTTGTGGTATTTCCTTAATCCCCTTTGTGCATCGGTTCAGTTACGATGACATATGAGTCTCCTTCCTGTTCTATGTTTTACGTTAGATAGATCCTTTCTTATTTCGTAATCGGATATATAAAATATTGGCATTTTCTTCAATACTTTCTGTACTACTTTTGATTTCCCTTAAGGTAAAATGTATTTTGTTTACAAAACCCTCAGGTATTGTAAATAATTCTTTTGTTGTTACACAATATTTTTTGAGAAATAAAGTCATTAATTTTGAGATGAGAAGATACAAGTTTTGATAGTAGTACTTTTTCATGCAAATAAAACATGTAGTCCGATAATTATTTTTTATTTATTGTCTTTCCAGATAAGTTTTTTATTTCAAAATAATTTGTAATAAAAGAATTGTAAGTAAGTGTATAGCTATTAATAATGATGTATAATATATGTTATTATTCTGTGTTGAAAAAGTACACATTATTTATAATGTAATAATATTTTAATTTTAATAAGAGAATGTTGGAAAAAGTGGAAAATATTATGAATAATAAATTATAGAAATAATAATGTTATTACAATTTTGTTAAATATTAACAATGTGAAGAAATTACAGCATGATTGAAATTAAAAAGAAGTTAAAATATTATAGAACAAGGAGGAAAGTCGTTTTTATCGATCTGTCCCTAATTATATCATAATTAATCTCCTATCTAAATCCAAATATCTAAAATAATATGCTTCGATATATCTTCCGTCGGTGCTTTACTGGAATTTCTATTAGTTATGATTATGTAATTCTTACATATTGCAGTATACTTTCGGGATACTAACACTAACACTACTACTGTAATTCAATGTAATTCATTTGATTACCTGTAATTGTGCACTTGGTATATATGATCTATATCAACTTCAAAATTATTAAAACAAAGCGCGCAATTAAAAACAAAATGGTTTATCAGAACATTCGATATTATTCCACACCAATCTTATTTTAAAATAATTCCAAGATGAGTATTATCAAGATATTTAACACGTGATATCTAAAAATTTATTAAAAAGCAGTAACAATCATGATGTAAACATACGGAATCTGAAATGAAGTCTTTGAACTTCAAAGAGCAGTTTTCAAACAAAATATTAAAATACAGATTACACAATTTATTACAGTAGCTCGTTAGTTTATAAGCTTTGAAAGAGAAAAGCGTATACCTGATAATATAGTTAACAGAAAGGTAGCAGAAAAAGGTACTTTATGCTTTGATTATTACGCATCCTATAATTTGCAAACGAATTTCTTTTTACCCGACGGCAGTACTTGCAACTGAAACTTTAACACGAACAAAATATTTACGCGCAGATGTGCATCGTGTGTATTACGAAATAAATTTTCAATTACATTTTATAAACATTACATTTTCAATCAAATTTTATAAAACATATTTAAGTACAATGCACCTCTCCTTGCATAACTTTTATATTTTAGATTTTATATTTTTGAGACGGTACTGATATTAATTTTTGTTAAAGGTCGCTGAATATTTTTGTTAATAATTATTTTAAATAATAATTATTTTTAATTTTTTTGCTAATTTTTTATTTAAATAATATCAAAAGAGATATATGTTTCGATTCCTTGTTTAAATAATGAAAAAGATTTCTTAAAGGAGTACCGTATTTTTTTAAATTGACGTTTTTTATTTCATTTTAATTTTTATTTCCATATTGCAAACTTTTCAGATGCTCGTTGCAAGAAATTTTTCGAATCTTGCGAATGTTTCGAGGGAAACATACTTTAAAGTCATTATTTTTTTAAGAAACGCGCTTTTAAATTCGTAGGTACGATTAATTAATGTGTACGCGCGTGTACGTGATTTTAAATTATGAGTTTTAATATATATTTTTCTTGTTTTATATGTAAATCACGTATTTCTTATTAAATAAACTTTTCCATACATAATATTAGGTGTTGGAATTAATTCGTAGCGTTTTTAATGAAAGAATGTTATTTATTTCACATGAGCATTAAAAAATACATTAATGAAAGTACTTCCCATCACTTGTAAAACGCTACGAATTAATTCCAACACCTAATAAAATCATATCCATATACGTACATTATATTTTTCGGGATATAAAAACAATCGCAATAAAACGTTACATATACAATATAATACTCTGAAGAATGTAATTTTTTACTTTAAATCAGGAATATTTACACGAAGAAAATGAGAGTTCATTCATTCGTTGAAAACAATTACATATCCATCATTAAACATCAATTTCACATTCACACGTTAATTTATACGTAAATATATACAAGGGATATTCCAAAAAAGATGTATGTCGATAGCAAAAAGCTTTTTACAATTTGTGCTCGCATTTTTCTTAATAAAAATTGAAAGTTATTTAAGTTATTTAATTATTTTACAATTTCCATATAAAAAATTATTTTATCTTGATCTGAAAAGGTATTAGAGATTTTATCATGATGTTTAATATTTTGTATTAAATATTTGCTATAGGAAAATTAATGTTTCAAATTTAATCTCTTTCTCTCAAATTTAATATTTAATGATAATAATAATAATAATACTTTTGTTATCGATACACATACTTTCTGGTATAAATCTTACGAAGTCGTATCTTTTCGAACTTCGAGTTAGACTTCCTCTGGAACTATCCATTTTATCTACTTATCACGCTTACTTTTCAAAATTCCGTGGATTAAGACGGAGTAAGCAGTAAAAGTTAATCCGTTATTCATGTAGATATGGAAAGACTTGTTTCCTTTCAAATTGCGAACGTCAGCTCGAGTCTTACCTTAACGCACTTAATCAAAAAAACTCGATTGCTCGTTGTTCCTTCGCAATAATCGAGACCAGGGACTCCTGGTCGTGAAAAAAATTCATTTCTCTGTCGAGGTAGCAGATTTAGGAGATGTTGCAGTCGTCGGCACGGGCATCCCTGATCTGCTGTTTCGTTTTTCTTGAAGTGCGCCTGATTAGGCTGCGACTACGTGGTTTGCTCTTTACCTCCTCAGTAACGCTGACGACGCTAGGACCCTGAGCCGCGACCACTTGCTGGAGATTCCCACCGGGACCCGCGCTACCGGTTCTGCCACTAGGGCTGCCGGACCTTTTATTATAATAAAAGAATAATAGATGAGAGAGTTAGAAGTACACTAAGAAAAAAAAATTATTTATTTGTCTAAATTAATTTGGTTCATCTTTATGTCTTTTGATGAAGAATGTATTTCAGTTACATTTGATTTATTTAAGTCAATTACAATTTTGTAATTATATTGAAAAAAATTATTCATTTTATTAAATTAATTATTCAATTGACTAAATTAATTTAGTTTGTCTTTATTTCTTTCATTGGAGAATGTATATATTGTAATATATGTATATATTTATATACATTCTTCAATGAAAAAAATAAAAACAGATTAAATTAATTTAGTCAAATGAACAATTTTTTTTTAATGTAATTATAAAATTGTAGTTGATTTAATTTAATGCTGCATTTGTTTTTTTCTTCGAATTTTCGGTGTTCATTTATGTACAATAATCCTTCGTATCGTGCATTATTTTACATTTTTATAAATTTGGATGAAGGATTCTTTTGATATTATAATTTATATTTAGTATTAACTTTTTATTAATTTAAATATATCTCTTCCTAAGAAGACATGATTGTTACGACTTAAGAAGAAAACTTTTCCAAAAGGAAATTTTAAATAAAAAGACAGCAAATAATTGGAAGGAATGTAAATATTATTTAAGATTTAAAAATAATATTCCATGATATAGCCCTTTGGCACTATATTGAACTGCGCGCAATTAATTATATAAGTTGAATAAATAGAGTTATAAAGCGAAAGTAAATATTTAAATATTACAACTTTTAGTTGAGATATTAAAATATATAATTTGAGTCCAGACGTTTTTTCAAGTCTAAATAAGCTGAAGAGAAAATGCATTTATATACACATACCATTTGAAATTATTTTTTAAAATTATGATTATGATTTTTCGAATTGTAAATATATGTGTGTCTTTTCTCAATTATTGAAAACATATATTCGCACATAATTCCTATACATGCAATAATAAACGATTTTTTAGGACTGTTTAATGTGAATACACTACATATAATAAGTAAGAAGCAATACTTATATCGATCGAAGCTGGATCTTGAGTGCTTTAAATAATTTCGGTGGTCTAAAGACGATGGTCTAAGAATGTTGCACGGAATGCCAGAGATTCGAATTCAAATTCGTGTTTAGTAGATAAAAATCGGAAATATTCACTTTTATGTTGCAAAATGATGTTGGACAGTATAATTTTTTCAATATTTTTTTGGACTTTTGTCAATTTTTCATAAACATTCTAATTTTTTCTAAATATTAGACAATTACCGATAAAATGGATATATCTATTGTTTCTTCATTTTGCAAGCACTTTAATTAAAAGTTTCATCAAAATCGGCGTGTCTATATTAGTAAGTAGTGTTCCTGTTGATAACGTATCGTAACATTATCGTGATACACTAACGTATAAAATGAATAAAAAGAATCAAGCAATGCAAAGTATAAGCTCGAGTATCAAATATAAATAATAATGTTCAGGAATAATAGATGATCTGAAACGATATTGAAACTACATTGAAAATGATATTTAATGTTTCAATTATATTCATATTTGATCTACTTTGACATTGGTAATTAGTGACATTGAAGTGCGTTGAAAACCTTTTAGATTGAATACCTGTTCCGTTATACATGCTGCTGATAGATGAAACGCGACTAAATGGCAGGTTTGCGATTAAAGTGATTGGAATTACCTTCGTGTATATACATATATTAAAGAAATTACATCATAATTTTTTAGTTTAGTACGTGTAATCTAGTTTACTATGTAAGCCAACAAGTTTCTTTTCGGATTTTTATTAATTTTTCTTGATATAAAAAATAATGAATTAAACATTTATAAAATTTAATCTTTACATTTAATCTTTTTATATTCGTAATAAAAATATTCAATATTTTTCGAATAGAAAGAATTATTATAATTATAAGTAATTAATGAGTGATAACTTATTCATCGTTTATTAAATTTATTTTCCTACACATTCATCATTTTTAATTTAAAACAAGGAAAAAATTTAATAATGTCTATATTACGTTGATTTGCCTCTAAATTTTCACCCTACATTTGACGCGAAATCCTCTCACAATTCTTAGTTCTTATTTACATCGAATGCAATCTTCATTTTAAACCTGGTGCTAACTATTTGGATTAAATAAGCCTGACAACGATTCACTGTCGAGATTACGATTTATGATACGACATGAAAAATTAGTTAATTATCGAAGTTTTAATGCTAAGTAACAACCTTTAAACAAATAAATCTTAAAGTTCGACATTAATGGTTACAGTTATTGTAGTACATTTACGGAATTTACATTAATAATGAATTTATACTAGTTTTTCTTGAAAAGAAAAATGAATGAAGGTCAACTGGAAATTTAAATTCTTGAAATATTTCTTAATATATGAAATATCTTGATAAACTAAGTTTTTAATTAAAAATTTAGTCAATTAAAAAATGAAAAGCATTATACATTTTCTTATAATATAGTTTATAATTTGAAAACTTTTCGTTTTGAAGTTGATACTTAAAAAAAAAAAATTGAAATAAATTTTTTTTAAATTCATTCTTAAAATGAGATTTACATATTATAATATATATTTTATTGTATATTATAGTATATATGAAAACACAAATGCCTTATTGTTCAATGTATTTATTCGTATGTAGGGAATAATTAGTGTTACGATACCTGCGTGATCCGTATGCTGAACATCTTCTTCTGAGCCCCGACTGCTCGACCTCGCCAGTGGGATTTTTCGGTACGATCTTGGAAAGCGTGACGAAACATCTGAATACATCCTTAATGTTGTAGTCGTCCTTTGCCGAGCACTCCATCACCTTAGCGCGAAGTTTCGGCAATTCGCAAAATAACCATTCGCTCACGTCCTCAATTGGTACCTCTCTTCGTGCTGGCGCTAGGTCAAGCTTGTTTCCAGCGATAACTATCGGTACTTCCTATTGAAAAGAAAAAATGTCTTCGTTATTGCTTCTTCTTCACTAAAGCGTAACTAATAAAATCGATTTTTAAAAAAATGCCGCATGATAATGCTTTTTTATCAGCTCTAGATATTGTGCAAAGTTATAAATATTGAGAACAGCAAATTAATATTTCATACTATTCCAAAAATAGAGGAATCTAATTTAAATCGTAGATTGATAAGAGTAACTCTGCTAAATATTCGATAAACTTTACGAGATAAATCACGAGAGAATTAACATGAATAATTTTGGAATTCGCACCTGGAAGTCGGGTCGTTGTTCTCTCACTTCTTCGAAGCAACGTTTCACACACTCGAAACTTGGTAAGGACGATGTCGCGTATACGAGTAGGAATGCGTGGGCGGTGGCTATGCTCAACCGCCTCATTGCAGGAAACTGCAGGTCACCTATAAAAATAAAATCAAAATTGATTTAATTTAATGTTATTAATGGATGTTTATGAGAAAAATCTTCCTACGCATGTGAAAAAATCGCGCATTGTTTCTTTGCGTAATATTTAAAGTAATTCTTAAAAAAGAATTTAAAATAACTTCTTCTTCTTTTTATTCATTATTTTTCTTATTTTCTTCTCGATTTTAATTCTTTTTATTTCAATTCTTTTCAAAAGATATATTGAAATGTTTTAAACTGACAACTATTTTTTCATGATATTTTTACAAATGTCGCCCAAAAGCGTGCTGTTATTTCTGATAAATTTTTACTACATATGAAAAATAAGTCTATTTATTTATGATGCATATGTATAGCGCATTTATCTCATTGCTTTTCCGATACTCCGTTGCTCTCTCGCTAAAAAGTTATTGGGATATATCTTTGCGCAATCTCAATTAGATCAAGGATACCTTGGTACACGAACACATTTCTGTACAACTATATTGAACGCTACTGAGTTACGTTTATTTGATACCAATTCCGGCAAGAGAGAGAGATCCAAGCTTCTTTCGTTTTCAATCAAAACATTCAGTATTCCGTTTCATCATATTGAGAATGTGTATACGTAGTATCACGTATCATTTAATATTTTTCGTTATATTGCATAGCAGATTCGATGAGGAGGGAAACATTTCATATTTAAAGAGGAAATGGCTTTTAAAAAAATATAAAATTAATTTTTCACGTATGAGACTTATTATTAGAGTTTTTTATGAGCAAATCCGGAAATATACGAAATTTTAAAATGATAGATTAATTAATAACAGATTATACTGAGATTTTTATTACAACTTAAGTGTATAACACAGTAATTAATTAAAACTCAATTAACTTGAGTATTGAATTATTGCATAAGTGCAGCATAAAACGGTTATTACATTAAAATGATATGATCCTTTAATAAAAGCATTATCACACAGTTTTTGCGAAATATTAGTAGTTAATTATGTTAAAGCTAAACAAATTTATATTTTTAATCTTTTCTATCTTTATATAAATTATTTAGTGAAAAGGAAATTATAAAAACAATTTTTTATCCAGAAAAAAAATATTAGTGAATTTTTTACAGCCCCCCCCCCGACACACACACACACACACACACACACACACACCTTTTGTTTTTAAAAAAATTATTTAAAAATCATTGATATAGAAAATCGACGTGTGTCATACATTCTAACAATGAGCGCATTCAGTGGACTCAATAGTTGAGAGAGCACTCGCTGTTATTGGTGTATTCTTTTAGATTATTCAATCAGAATTTTAGATCTAGAAGAATACATCAATAGCAGCGAACTGTCTCACTTAACTATTGAGTCTGCTGAACACAGCCAATAAAGGGAAAAGGGGAATGGTGAGAGATGTTCATCTTACCCGCGGTATCCAGAAGATCGACTTTGAGCGTCAGAGTGCCAAGAATGCATTCTCGCGAGTACAAATCCTCCACGGTGGGCCGGTATCGCTCGCTGAAGCCTTGACCGAGTAGTCGTCGTATAATGGCACTTTTGCCGACCCCGGCGCCGCCGAGCACCACCAGCCTGATCCTTTCGAGATCGGCCATATTTTCCGGCCGGTCGCACCCTGGTGACTTAGAGCACGACCGTAAGAATGTCGTTGCCTCAGGATGGCATCACCCGGGAGGTCGATCGAAGTCTCGTCCACCTCCTGGAAATCCAATACGGTCGCCTTACCCGCCCTCGTTGCCACCCGCGTCTGTCAAAGTGCTCCTCCTTGGTCCGAAGGATATTAATTTGATTCCCCGCGGCGATTCCTGACCGCGGTCAGAAACGAGTCTGTGGTAGTTCCTCGAGATCGATCAGTCGCGATCGACGTCGCTTCGAAACGATCACGTTTTTCCACCCAACGACGTTGCACGTCACCGACTTCTTCATTCACTTACTCCGCTTACGTTGCGCTCTCGCGGGAACTCCCATCTTCCTCAGGGAAATCGCAGTCTTTCGCTCGCTCCGTGATTCGAGTTGAAATTTTTCTGTTGAAAGATGAGAAACTGTTCAATTATTACTTATTTACACGTGCCAACTATGAAATTTCATTGGCAACATCAAATTGACGGACAATATAAAATTATGAAATACAGCCGGTGTAATGTTATTTGGGATCACCAAGTGTACTGGAAATTGAAGTAAATAGTATTACCATGGAAACATTCCGAGCTAATTGGAATATTCCGTTTAGAACAGCGACTTTTATTGAGGCCACAGCTTTCATGCTTTATGTTAAGAAATCCGATACGTTGATTATAAATATCGAAGCAGAAAGTCTCGATGATTTTTTAGGTCAGTAAGCAAATGAAATATATTACAATAATTAAAGTAATTTTTTATCAATATCTAATTTTTATCAATAACCAATAATATCAATAGAAAAGGATTAGAATAGACAACACAATGGACCTCTTTGTTATTTAAAGTTAATTATAATCGCTAATAAAGTTAATACATTTCCTTCATGATAATATCTATATCAATTTATCCTTTTCAGATTTAATCGATTACGAGCACTAATTTTAAGAAAAAAAGTGTATCATTTATATCGAACTATATAAGAATATTTGTGAAATAAGTTTGAACAGAAAAACCTTTTGAAATCAACGAGTACATAGTTCTAAAATAAAAACTGAACGGTTACAGTTCAATATTTAATTTATGCACTGTAAAATATAATATTTCAAATACTTTTGCATTGTCATAAAAATTATATTTGTTGAAATATATATTAAATTGTGAATTTTTTAATTATTTCAATTGCAACCAAACTGTTATGGAGGATATTAAAATTAAAATTATATATTCCTATGCAAGATAAAGTTATCTACGGGAATTAACGAAACTCAGAAACATCGCGGAATTGAGTTTATTCGGTAGAAATGTGGGAACTACGGCGTCCTGGGGGTTTTTTGCATCTCTTTTGCGACAAACGCACATGGGAAATAAATACAATATAACATCCGAATTAAATGTATTAATATGTATTGAAATTAAATCGATATATGTCTTTTATATATTAAATTTTAATCTCAAGAATATTTTTCCATAACTCGCGATCAATCCCTATCATTTTATTTTAAACTTATGTTATCATCTCGTTTATTCTGTTTTCTCATTTTTTTATTTCTATTAATTATTATTTATCATTATTTTATCTTTATTTTTATATTTAGAAATGCTCACGTAATTGTTAATAAGTATGATTTCAATTGTAATTAATGTAACAATTTTACATTTTCTAATTAAGAAAAATATTCGTCCTTAACAAAGTCCTTGTTATGGAAAATATTTTGTTATACATATCCATATTTAAATTTATTATAAGTGGAAGTATTGATAAACAATAATGTTAATTTCAATTTACGCAAACCACTTCGCTTATCTTCCCTTGTAGGAAAAGTTGTATTGATATTGAGAAGATTAATTATATTCATATATATATATTTTTTTACATTTACATATTACATATTAATTAATAGCAATATTACTTTAGCATTTATCGTTAAAGATTTCCAAAATACATTCACAGAAATCTATTTTTGATGAAAATTTTCATGGATTTACTAGTTATTACATTTTATGTTTAAATAATTATTAAAAGATAATTAATTGCACAACAATTCAAACGCGTATAATTTTACATTTGTATGTATTAACGGCCAAATGCGAATTGTATATGCTTTTAATTGTTATCACAAGAAAATTTTCCTGATTGTAGATTAATCAAATTTGAAAAAAATTATCTTTTACTTGAAGACTTCGTCTTTTTCATAAATTAATTACATTAACAAATTTTTTAATATATTTTAATTAAAAACAAGAAACAGCAATATCGCAAAGAGAAACAACAATATCGCGTCAATAGTTTTCTCTAAGTCCTTCCGATTCATTCAACTTCCACAAATGTAAAATTTCTCTTTCGATGAAAATTTATATGGATATAGGTTAATTTTGTTTAATCTTATCTCGCAGAGGCCAGACACAAGGCGAATGGGATGTGTAATGAAATTTTATCGAGCAGCACGGTGGTATTTACAATCCGCGCGAGATGAAAAAGCGTGTTGTCGCTGTCACGATGGCGATGCGACGGGACGTGATCGTAATTTACTCTGCATCCTACGTCCGCGAAGGGATTATGAAAAGGAAAGAAAAGAGTGCGTATCTCGCTTTTGTGCGGTTTACATTGTTGGAAACAGTCTTTGCACTCTTTCTGTCTCACTTTTTTCATCTTTATCTTTTTCACTATCAACTAGACCCGCAGTCTTTCGGCAGGAGTCACAGGTGGCTGCCGGCCACTTCCTTTTTCCTTTTCTACTGCCTGGGGATCTCCACGGGATTAAAACGTTGCTAAATAAACCGTCAACAGCAGGCTCTGTTTTATGAAATAAAGCCTTAATCATTAAGCTCATTAATTGTAAATTCGCGGAGCGTTGCCGCGTCAATCTGAAGCTTTTCTCACAGACATCACGCCGTATGGTTCACGTATGCCCTATTTTCATTTAATAAACTTAACAGATACTGCACATTGTTTAGTTTTATAAGATTTTACACACCGCGGTGTATATATATTTATTGCGATCTCTCCATTTTCATTGACATTCACTTCGAAAGTATAGCTTTCCGTTATTACGATATTTTATCGATTCCGCACATTTCTGCTTTTAATGCTTTCAACAAATTGGAGTCATTTATACGCTACTACAGAGAATATAAAATGGAAATCAAAATAACATACTTATAAGATCTTGCAAAGAGTATGCGGTTTATTGTATCATCAATTCTAAATGAATAGCAGGTATAACGAGGGTTGTAAAAAGCTTAGATCCTCCAGAAATAGCTAGTATAAAAAAATGTGTTAAGTTTATGACATAAATTGCAACTAAAGAATTATATCAATAAAAAGTAAATGATACCATTATACTTGCAATATGCTTTGAGTAATTAATAGCATTTGGGTTTCCTTTTTATTTATGTCGTTCAACAGAGTAAGAGTATCGAAAATCCTGCCCCCCCTTTAGCATCTAATTATTGATTCTGTAACAAGAAATTAATAATAAGTTAGCAAGATGTTGAAATTAACGTGATTAGGATTTTTATATCACGTTATTAAATATATGCATATATATATATATATATATATATATATATACTGTTAATTTGCTAATTTTTTTTTGAACTAATTAAAATCGAGTAAACCGAGCGAGAGGGATAAATTGCACAATCCGTCTATCTTAAGTGCTGAGAAACTGGAACCTACAGCATCCCTGAGCTATTAGAATAATTATTCGTCATTAATGTTTTTCGGGATTCTTCCGCATTGATATACGCATTATCCGTTGAATTCCAATTACACAAAGTATATTCAACATATATATTAATGATGCTAGCATACTCTTAATCTTTAGTATTTTCCTAAATATAATCTGTTGGGAATGCTATAAATATATATCGTGTTTTTACAAATTTTTCCAATTACGTCAGATATTAATTAATCTATTAATTAATTAATTATGAGTAAACGAGAATCTAATTTTTTGTAATTTGCAGATTTGTAGTTTGGCATAAAATTAAAAATAAAATTTACAGACTCCATTAAGTTTTATTTAATTCACTATATCTAGTTATTATAACAATGCCAATGCAAATTTATCTTTGTATGATTATTTTTCGTAATATAAAAATTTTGTTATTTTGTTGGATAGCTGCTGTGGGAATTGTAACATCTTTTATATGATTCTTCAGAGATAGAAATGGAAAAGAGCTCAAATACGGAAGACTTTCTCGGCTATCCGCGGATTTGTTCAAACACTATCTTGTAGGTGAAATGGAGGAGCAAAACCTTGAAGAACTCATTTCGTTTTATACTTGTTTTTAGAAAAAGATCTCATTTTGAAAAACTTTCGATATTTTATACAAGTTATTGCAAACCTAAAAAAAAATGGAATATAATACCACAGATATATTATCATACGATTATCATAATATATCTAAGAAGAATAGAAACTAAAAGGAAATACGAATTTCTTGTAATAATGTATATCTTTCTACTTTGCCGAAGGGTATACTGTAAAAGAAACCTTCACTAGACATGTCCTAAATGTGTTATATTTAACTAACATGCAAGCTGATTATACTCTAAATATTGCAGCATGTACATTCTATAATCTGTAAAAATTTTAGGATAAAATATTTTGTTGTTATAAATATTCATAATAAACAAAATATGGGGCTAATTATTCAAAGATGCGAATTTAATTCGACGAGTTCCATCATATATGTCTTTAATAAACAAAATTCTCCATTTCATTTAATTTTATTACGTTAAAGTTCATTACTTTTAATTTAATTCGCTTCGGGGATGTCATTTTCAAAGTATGAAAGCATGAAAGTATGAAAGTATGAAATGTTTCGTGATTTCCTACGGCAAACGTGAAATTATCTTGCGCGTTCATTCGTTTCGCTTTGCGGTTATTGCATTACAAATATGACCGTGTATTTATCCATGGACGATGAAATAATAATATATTTCATTAATGATTTTGTAATATCGCGAAACGTCCTACGCGTGTGTTGAAAATCTAGTTATTAGATCCTACCTTTACGACCGTTAACTGATTTCTACTGGCGTCAGCATACTGATTTACATAATAATACCCGAAAATTCCCGCACGGTTTTTCCAGACACGATCAACAAAATTGAAATCATTAATTTGCTGCTCGCGTACAAACAGACGTTGGGTGGACATTTCGCTTAATCACGTCACGTCCCTCGATATTGCTGATGACTCTTTTCCTCTTCTTAAGGAATGATATTCCTCTGGCGATACAGAATAATATATTGCAATATCTGAAAGTATGAAGAAAGTTTTCCCGAATCAGAGACGCTGTTATATAGCAAGAGACATCGTAGCTGGAGAGTTTATGAGTTTTTTCTGTCTTATTTATCTTTTCTTCTCTTTTTCGGTAGAGAAAAAAGTAGAAATT